CCTTGACCCCACCCCCTATGTGTCTGCCTGACCCGCCTCTCGCTGGCCCGAGCCGGCCCCGCCTCCTGCGAGCCTGGGTCCCGCCCTCGGACTTCCAGGACTGCGTCCCGGTCTGTACAGAGGCGCCTCCTACCGGCCCGGACTCCGTGCAGAAGGGAGCTCGCCTCTGGTCGGTGCAAACCACTCCCTCGCTCCGCCCCGGCCGGCCTCTCCACCTGCCGGTGTGGAGCCCGCAGGTGCTCGCCCCAGAAAGCGCACCAGGCGTGTTCCGTAAGAGATTTATTGTTCCTAGCGGCTCAGCACCTTCGAGAACCAACGGTCTGGCCACGCAGTGCTGTCAGTATCAGTGACTTGAGGTCCTGGTAATGGATGCTTGGAAAATGCTTCCTCCAAGCCTCAGGTGTCTGTTCAGGTCTGGACGTGGACCCAGCCACTGAGCAAATGGCCCAGCCAGGCCCAGGGCTGTGTACTAAAGCCCAGGAGGCCTTTTCAGTGCACGTCTTCTTCAGCTTTGCAGTTTCAGGTATGCAACAGGGCGTCATTAAATTAAGTTCAACAAGGTCAGCTCAAGTACTTAAGGGGTAACCTGTTTTTCCCTCACTTTTTTTTTTTTTGAGAGTAGGATCAAAACCTACCTTCCCGCACACTCAACCTACCCCCTCGTTTTAAGTGCAACTCCATCCACCCCTGACTAACCCAAATACAACTCCAAGCTCACGGCGGCAAATAAGAGATAGGCATATGGGGAGAGAGCAAGACTGGGGACACAATTCCAGGGGCTCCTGAATTCTTTAAACTTAAAATGTGGCACCATTCCTGGGCTGCCACCCGGTTCTCCAAAAACAGTTTATTGTCCCACGGGAGTCCTGGTGAAATGATGGAAGCTGGTCCTTCTTCCCCGAGGCTCACACTAGCGTCCCGTTCTTGCTGTCATAGCAGGGCGTGGCCTGGGGGAAGGAAAGGGTGGCATACTCTGTAGCATTTTCTGACTGCAGGTGCTTCACCTCCCGGGCGGAGCGTGGCTGGGGCTGGCTGCACACTTGAATGACTGCGTAATGTAAGCTGCTGTCCTCTGACCTGGGGCCTTGCTTCCGCCGCTGAGACGCAGGCGGCTCCAACACCTGCTTACGCGCATGTCCTGTTGTGACATGGCCCTGGGAAGAATGGACAACATTAAGAGAGATTCTTGGCTTGGTTTGGCCCCCCCACCTTCAATGATGTCCCTCTATTTTGCTCCATTAGAGGGGCACCGAGGAGGAAGGGCAGAACAGGCAAGTTCTATAGATGGCTGAGACGAGTCTGTTCCAGGGGGAAAGGCCAAGGCCTGGCATCCCTAGTCCGAGCCGCCCTCGAGAAGGGACAGAGGCCTGTCATTACCTTTGTGCCATTCTGCTTCTGTCGCTGCTGCTTCAGTGTCCATCTGGGTTGACCCCCTGGGAGGAGGAAATCCAATTTAAACCCATTCACTCTTCCCTGTCTCTACTGAGGTTGCCATCTTCAAACCTCTATTAAACTATTATGGCGGGCTTCTAACTAATCTCCCTACGTCTGTTCTCACCTTCTTCACTTCCATCATTCCCACATCCAAACTCTTTAGTAGGGAATGCAATCTGGCCCTTTTACAATCTGCCCATAATATCTTCCATCCTCATCTTTCTCTGGTCCCTAACAGTGTTCCACAAATACATGTTGAGAGTCCATTAGATTCCAGGCTCTCTGCCACATTGTGGGAATAGAAGAATGAGCAGGCTGCTTCCTCTGCCTCAGGGAGCTGACAGTCTACTAGGGGAGACATAGAAGTACACAGACTATTACAGTGCAGTGTGGTAAGTGCTTAGCTACCAAACAACTGGTCACTTTCAATCAAATCAGCCTCTTCTCTCTCTCCTTTCTTTTTTTCTGCATAAGATAATTCCCTTGCCTAAAATAGCCTCTCCTCCCTGCTCCTCTTCCAACTTGTGAACTTGGTATTACTTCTTCAACGTTGGTGTTTCCTGCCATTCTCCCACAGCAGGAGTATGCATCCCTTATAGCACTAGTAGATGACAGTATGGTTACTTGTTTACATATCTATCTCTCAAACTTGATCTTCCCCTCTTTTAGGGCCAACACCGTGTGTCCTTCCTCTTGTGCCTTTCTCTCTCCTCGGGTTCCTTCAGTGCCTCATATACAGTATAAGTGCTCAGTAAATTTTGGTGGATGAATGAAAGCATGAACAAACAACCTTGCCCACTGCAATAATAGAGAGGATGAGACCCAGAGTTTCAGAGATGGTCTTGAACCCAGTAACCTAAAGGTTCTCTGTAGTGCACTGTCTCCCTTTATCCCTCCCAACACTACCCTTTCCCACCCTTATGCTCCTTCCAAAGACACCACTTCTGTTATCTTCTCTAATTTGCTACCAGCTCCCTCCACCCCGGCCCCACCCAGTCCCTCTCCTCCCCCAGTTACCCATTTTCTTTTTCCTCTGGAAGATGGATGGGCAGCTCCTGTGAAAGGAAAAACAGATCACCCATGTGTAAGAGACCTGGCCTCTATCGTCCCTCCTTCATCATTTGCTCTGTGATCTCTTTAACATTCTAGGATGATCTTCCCTCCCCTCCCTCTAACAAGTCACCCTGAGCCAGCCCCAAAGCATTTATCAAGGATACCACACCTCTCCCAAAGAGATGGTTCTGGAAGGCGGAGTGGAACAACTGACATAACCAAACCCAAAATACAGACTCCGGCAGCCAGTCATTACATGCCAGGGAGGAAGCTGGGTTGAGCGCTATTCTGAGATTGTCTAACAGGCTAATTCCAGCAGAGGGTAAGGGAAACCGGCCAAATAATGGGATATTCCTGGATTCAGAGACCCTCTTGCTTCTGCGTCACTGCCTTTTTAGGGGTCTCTGCCAGTCTGGGGTTCTCATTGTGGGAGTCACAGGAGCTGCCACAACCAGGGCTCACTAGTTAGGGCTCCTCAAAGCCCTTTCCTAACAGGTGACCTCCCTCCCTGCTTCCCTGTCCTTGTGTTTAATTAACAAAACTGTGAGATGTTTAACCTTTAAGGCCCATAGCACAGGGAGCTTTGAATTTGGTGAGTGACTCAGCTACCCCGAGCTCACTGCAGGGCAGATCTCTGATACTCATTTCTGAGCCCCTAGGGTCCCCAATGGAGCCGGTGTGTCTATGATCGTCAACTGTTTTATGGCCAGAGAAACACTTGTCTGAGGAAATAGACTAAATAGTTTGGAGCTTACTCCCATGCTTTTTCTTGCTAGTACATTTCCAGCTCTCACCTGGGCCAACCCTATTTGTCTGACTTCTGTCTTCTGAAGGAAGTTTCCTTTTATTGCTACTTAAAAAGAGAGGAAAACTTACAAACCATGTCCATTTTACTACTGTGGAAAAATCAGGATTTCCCCACACATTTCTGACAGAGATTTGTGTTCCGGTTAGATTTTTGGTTTTAACGCAGCTTGCTGAGTTGAGAGCTGTTAGTCACTATCTGAATGCTACAGGTGATTCAGAAGAAAGGCATTGAAACTATTTCTGGGTCTTTCTACTTCCTCTTTGGCTACTTCAGTTCTTCCTTTCTCTTACCACTCACTGCCTAGCCTCTAATTCCCTGTCCCTTGTCACTATTGTCTACCTAATTACTTCTACTTAAATGGATAAAGAAAATATTAATTCTAAAATGACATAGGGTTGGGCAACCCAATTTTAGTAAATGGAGCCTGCTCCCAAGTTCAATATTGCACAATGCCTGGACACAACCCACATGGAATATGCAGTTACTCTTTGGTGACAAGACTTTATTTTTAGCTTAGAATTAAGGAAACTAAATGGGCACTCTCCCATGTGGGTAGTAGGAGTAAAAATTGGTGCAATCTTTCTAGAATGCAATTGGCAATACGTATAAAAAACCTTAAACAAATGTGTGTACCCTTTGATATAGCAATTCCATAGCCTAAGAAATAATCTGGCAGGTGCAAATATGAATACTTAATATAGCATTATTTACAATGGCGAAAAACAGTAAATATTTTAAATGTCCAACATTGGGAACTGATTGAATAAATGGCATCTCTAATCAATGGAAAATCACACATCCATTTAAGAAAAATGTTGGAAGCACACCTAATAGCATTGAAAATTTTCTTCCGTATTAAGTTTAAAAAGGTAATAAGATATGTTTTGGGATAAAAACCATCTACATAGGCATTTTAAAAAGATTACATGGAAATATACTCAAATGTTCCTGTCATTTCTGGGTGCTTATATTTATGGTTTTTGTTTTCTGCTCTTTGGTATTTTCCAAATGTTCTACAATGATTAAATATTACTTTGTAATAAGAAAAACATTTTAAAATAAAAATCTCTTTAATTATCATAGTATCTTTAAATCTCTGGAAGTTATTGAGATTATGAGAAATACTATTTACCTAGCCCTACTAATACTTTGAGAGGAAAAAATATACAGGGTGGGCAAAAGTATGTTTACAGTTGTTCGTATGGAAAATAATACAACAATAATACAAGAATAAACTCTGTTTCATGTACTCACAACTATAAACCTACTTTGTCCAACCCTGTAATTTGGTTAGACTCTCTGGTATAGTGTTTCTAGCCAGGCTCTAGAGTCAGACTGATGCTATCAGACTAGCTGTGTGACATTCAGCAAGTTTTAACTTATTAGGCTTCCAATCAATAAAATGAGGATGACAAAAGAACCTGAACCTTATGGGATTATTGTAAGAATAAAATAAGATAATAAATGTAAACTATTCAGCTAGCTGCCTGGCATATAAGGAGCATCAGTCAAAGCTGACTACTATGACTACCATCATCAGAGGAAAAAATAACCAAAAGGAAGAACATGAAGACTTGGGAAGGAAGGAAGTGAAAGAAGCTATTACATCCCCTTCTTTAGGAGCTTTTAGATGTTTCTGGATATCTTATGTCTGTAGGACATTTCAGAGTTTAAAAAATGCTTTTTTTCCCCAATCCTGACAACATATCAGGAAGCATGTATTATTGTTCCCATTTTACAGATCAGTCAACTAAGGCCCTAAAAACTTTATGTTACTCAAGAAGGCAGAGACCAAATTTCCTATTTTTACTATGTCTTCTGCATCTATCACTATGCCCAGTACATATAGGTATTGAACAAAATATTTGTTTAAGAAATGAATAGAGCCCTAGCTGGTTTGGCTCAGTGGATAGAGCGTCAGTCTGTGGACTGAGGGTCCTGGGTATTCTGATCATCAAGGTCACATGCCCAGATTGCGGGCTCGATCCCCAGTAGGGGGTGTGCAAAAGGCAGCCAATCAATGATTCTCCCTCATCATTGATGTTTCTATCTCTCGCTCCCTCTCCCTTCCTCTCTGAAATCAATAAAAATATATTTTAGAAAAAAGAAAAAAGAAATGAATGGATAAATGAATGTGTAATAGGAACAGGACTTGAATCCAATGTACTGACTCCAACTCATATGCCCTTTTCAGTGTACCTCAATTATCTCTTTAAATATAATGATGCTTTATTCATAAACAAGGTATCCTCAACACTGCCCCAGGCTTGGAAAGGTATAGCTAAGAAGGCATTGGTTATATAAAACCAGGTCCGGGGGTCTCTAGTGATGAAAACTCTGGGAAAGAACAATAAAGACATTATAATTAATTTACAGTGAGGCTTTCACATGTCCTCTGCTCTTCAAACCTGTCATCTAAATGACATGTCATGTTATCTATATTTTAGATATCATAGGTCATGTCATCTGTATTTTATATATGAGAAAAAAATAGAAGTAACAGGATTTGCCTAAGGTCACAGAGCAAATAAGTGTGAAAGTTATATTCAAATATTCCATGGGTCTCCTCTCCTCTTCTGCCCTTTTAAATAAACATTTCTCCAATGTTGAGTTGCTTGACTTGGGAGGCAGTATTACGCAGTGGTTTAAGGCATGAGCTCTGAAATCAGACAGATCTAGATTGGAATCTTGGTTTACGTGCTTACTAGCCATGTGGCCTCAGACAACTGCTCTGAGCCTCAGCTTCTCAGCTGTAAAAACAGGAGGAGATGTAAGCCACCTCTCGCATAGAATAGTTGGGAAAAGTAAATGAGATTGTAAAGTGGTAAGCTACAAGTGCTACAATTCTTATCATCTGGGGAAGGAGGGAAGTGGGAAGAAGAGAGAGGAGAGGAAGAGGAGGACAAAGAGAAACAATGCCAGGTCACCATTCCATCCCTGCTTTGGACATTCTACTGACAGCTGGCGTGGCTGTGTTTTCTGAAGTCTCCTGAAAGGAGTGAGCACAGAAGGAGGTGCTGTTCTGGTGGAGGCACAGGGAGGTGCCAGACGGAGGAAAGTGGCAGTGGGAGGTTGGCAGAGAACTATCTGCAGCTCGATCTTATTCTCAGGGCCTCCATGTCAACCCACACCGATGTTACCCTCTCCCCTTGCCCCCTACTCACCTGCTTCCCCCGCAGCAGAGCCGGTTTCCCATGGTGCTCTGTCTCCGAGGGAGCCTCGCTGTTTATCTACATAAAGAGCTTGTGCATTTCCTGGTTCCTGGTTTAGTTTTCAGTAGCAGCTCCCAGGCAGTCTGTCAGTGTCAGATTTCAACCTAGCAGGTTGCACTTTGGAAGCCACCTGCTGGAATGATTCCCAGGTGACTGCGCCCAGCCAAAGGGTAGAGGAACACACACGGGCTCCAGGTGAGAACTACCTCACCTTGGGGATTTGGAGCTGCTTTGATGAAACCATGAACTTTGAGCTTCAAGCTCCAATGAAAAGAAACCTGAGATAGAAAAGGGCGTTGGGCTTCCTTAGGAAATGTTTTTCCATGATATCACACTGTTATTGAAATATGTCCTCTAAAATGGAGTAAAGAGCCTCACCTTCTGTTTCCCAGCACTACTCAGCTCTAATTGAGTTTCACTTTCAAGGTTATCAGTATCAGTTTCTCATTATCCCTGTCCAGAATCTGGATTTGAAAACTGTAGTCTCTAGGAAACGTTAGGTGAATAGATTTCTTTTTATTCTTTCTCCCTTGCTATTGGAATTAACGTGGGCAAATCACTTTTATCTTAGGACTGTAATAATGAAGGACCGAACCTATTGCCCAATCCCCTTTCTGGTAAAGAATCATATGATTGCAATGGCTTCAGCACTTCTTAACCACTCACTTCCCCATTCCCAGTACAGAACTATAGAATCCCTACTTACAGCTCAACTCAACTTCTCCTTCCAGTGACCTAAAATTACATTCATTCCACACTCACCAGCAACTAGGATGCAGTCAAGCAAATCCCTCTGTAGAGAATATGGGCTCTAGGAGAGTTTTTGAAACCCATAAAGCTTGTCTCCAGTGCTCCCCCCCCCCCATCTGCCTTGTTCAGATGCCCAGGTATTTGCTCTTTATGGGTATTCAGGACCCACCACTCCACCCTGCACTCCACAGAGAGTACCCTGGACTCTTCACTCTTCCCCATCTTCTTTCCTTAAGAAAAATGCAACAATAAGAGTGAGGGCTTTATAGGATTGTGGTGAAGATTAAATGAAATAATGTATGTAAAGCTCTAGCCCAGGGCCTGGCACATAGGAGCTCTCAGCTCAAGCTATTGTTATTATTTATTGTTTTCAGCTAATCGTCAGATGGTAAAGCATCTTTATTATCTTGTGCTGGATCATTGCACAGCTACTTATATCATGGCCATGCCTCTCCCCGGCAATTCATTCTGTACTCTACCATTACCCATATTCTTTTCATCCTGTGACACAAACATCTTAGCCTGGCACTCAGAGCTCTCCAAATTTGGTCCGTTTCCAGCCAATTTCTCTAATTTGAAGGAAGACACTTAGATTCTATATGGCCGGAAACTCCAAAGGAAACAACAGTGTGTTGTGGTAGCCAGATCCACCTAAAGCAGCATTAATAGCAGTCCAGAGTGGTAAACAACGGCATTGATTATTCCACTGAAGTCTGTTCCAGTCAGTCTATGACTGGATTAAGTCATTTATTTATTTATCTATCTATTTATCTATTTTCTTTTTAGAGAGAGAAACATTGACTTGTTGTTCCACCCACCTAGGCATTCACTGGTTGACTCCTGCAGGTGCCTTGACCAGGGATCAATCAAACATGCAACCTTGGCACATGAGGATGACATTCCAGCCAACAACCGAGCTACCCGGCCAGGGCTGGAATAATAATTTTAGTACTCTATGTTGATTTTCAAGTTATGTTGTCAAAAGGCAGTGTGTTTAAGAGAGAGTTGTCTAGATATCAAGCTATATTACAAAGCCACTGTTCTCAAAACTGCCTGGTACTGGCACAAGAACAGACATATAGACCAATGGAACAGAACAGAGAACCCAGAAATCAACCGAAGCCATTATGCTCAATTAATATTTGACAAAGGAGACAAGAGCATACAATGGAGTCAAGAAAGTCTCTTTAATAAGTGGTGTTGGGAAAATTGGACAGATACATGCAAACAAATGAAACTAGACCACCAACTTACACCATACGCAAAAATAAACTCAAAATGGATAAAGGACTTAACCATAAGATGGGAAACCATAAAAATCTTAGAAGAGTCCATAGGCAGCAAAATATCAGACATATGTCGTAGCAATATCTTTACCGATACGGCTCCTAGGACAATGGAAACTAAGGAGAAAATAAACAAATGGGACTACATCAAAATAAAAA